CTATAAAATTAGTACTATGTAGTCTGCGCTTTCAAAATTTATTTGGAACATAAAACAACAGAAAATTAAGAAATGTTAAAAATTTTAGCCTGATACGTTCATTATTTGCTACATTATTATAAAATGAAAACGACATTATATGATCACCCGGCGCTGTCGTCGTTTTTTTTTTCATGACGTCCGATAACGTCATTGTTTTTTCAATGTACGCTTCTTCTACCTCGTACACTTTTTTGATGAGATTCCCTGGAGCTGAAAAAGGACTTAAACCCGCCTTGTTTAATATATGCTTTACAGTGTCATGAACAGTGGCCTTAAATGAATATAATATTCCGAATGAATTAATACATTGGAAGAGATCCGCGCTTGATTGTGCCGTTATATTTTGCTCTATTTGGGAGTTCAATATCTACAATACATGATCAACGTCATTTTTTGACGTGATTGATTTTTCACACCTTGACTGCAAATCAACATTAACTGTGTATCCCTTTTCTCTCTGAATCTATTTTGAAATTAAAAGACAAGTACTCTGGATGAATATTATTTCTCTGTAGCCAGTTTCAACATATATTTGGTCTATAAACTTCCATACAGAATGTTGGAAACGGAAACCCCTCCCCCCTTTTGACGTCACTTTCAAGGCCTCGTTTGTTATGACATTCCGTGTACAATTTCATAGAATTTCCAGAATGAAGTGAAAGTTTCATATTTTATGGAACAATTGTGTCCCGACGTATGCCCGATTTAACAGGATTTTTGGATGTCAAATGATCATATCAGAAGAGTTTTTCTCAGCTACACATAGGTCGCAAAAACGTCGTTTTCGAGGTTGCGCCGCCTGGACATACCATTGCTTACAAAAACATTATTTATTAAAAAATAAAATTTATGATTTATGGTTTATTCTTTAGATAGATGGTGGTAACTAAATATTTAAAAATATCATTGATGTGCCTAAAGCGGTTTTAATTTTAAGATTATAATCACTGTGGCTTAGGATTTTCCACAAACGGTTTCCCCGAGTTATATCATAAACCTTTGCCAAAGCCATTGAAGTTCAAGATGAGTTGTCTTTGTCATTTTTTGAAATGTTCTTCTTGTATAGGTTTTATTTTTGAATATTAATAATCGGTCACGGCGGCCCTTTTCTTTTCTGAATACCAACTGTTTTTTGGAATTCCTTCTGTCCGTTCGAATTCTGTTCACGTCTGTTTTTGCCAAAGAATTTGCCTCCTTTATATATATATATTAGTGTCTCTATACAGATGTTATAGTTTGTGAAAACTCATGATATGGTAGTTTGATGACGTTGCTCTAATACCATATCAATTGTCTACTTTAATAATTTCTTTATCAGTTTAAAGTTTGCTTTGTACAGGTACAGTACAGGTCTACGTCTTGTCTTTTTCCGGAAAGTGGTAGAAAATCGAGGACAGAAGTTTGCTAGTTTTGCATAAATATCATGTATTATATATGATTGTACTCTTTTTGTTTTTAAATCATGATTCGACTCACTGAAAGACAAATTATAGACAAGTATTTTCAGCACTCACCATTTCGTATAAATGTATAGATGAAGAATTAGCTTTCAAAATTAAAAACGGAAAAGAATGAATGACATATTTTTTTCAATAAAATTATAAACAGGAAATAAAATTTACAATTTATTTAATCATTCATATTTATCCAAAACGCTGGATTTGAATCAAGGAAATGCAACATACAAACAAGTTCAGAGGATACATGAAGTGTATTTCCTAATGATGATTATAAACGTTTTCTTTATATGCATTATTCTTAATAATTTCAACAGATTAGATGGAAACTGTGAAGGGTTTGTCTTTCTTATTCTAAAACAACCGAAAAATTATTGTCTTATTTTCAAGCACTTTAAATTTATCTTTTAGATGAAAACTTTTGTATATATCTAAAAGTTACGTTGTATGCTTATTCCTTATTTGGTACATCTTCGCTAGCCAGGTGTCCGATTCGTTTATCTCATCTCCACGAATCGGACACTTGGCTAGCGAAGATGGTATTTCTCCTGCATAAGAAAACTGAAGACTGAAATTTGTTTTACATCTAAAAGGTTTCTCAAGCGTGTAAGCAAAGTCATATAATTTTTGGATTAGAAGTAAACTATAAAAGATGTCTTTGTTCATCGCGCTGTCTAATTTGTTTTAACCTGTTAGGGGGGATGGAATCAGCTGCTGCTCTGGTTTTAGACGGGATTCTGTCACCAATTTATGCATCGGTATGTGTATGCTTTTATTGAATTAACTTTTACTCCCTGCAACTTTTTTTGCCATGGATTTTGAAAATTATATACTATAGTTAACATTGTTGAATTTAGACGTGCATAATGGCGGCTTTATGACTAAATGCTTTCAAAGATTTATAATTGTTTTTTTTATTCCGAAGAATGCACACCGGGGTATTATGGAATCAACTGTTCCCAGCAGTGTCCCTTTCCTAGCTATGGACGCCATTGTCAGAGAGAGTGTAATTGTTCTTCAGAGCTTTGCGATGTTTCCATCGGATGTCTTCACATTCAAAGTAAATTGCACTCAAAACTATACATATCGGATTTAGTTTAGGTTATTGTTTTTTTTTTTAATTTCATTCATTGGTCGAGTAGAGTGTAAATACCCAGTAAGTAAAAAGTTTGTATCTTTAAAACTTTATTGATTTATTCATTGATTGATTTTGACAGCATCCCCAGACGTGTCCAAGACACATAATATAAAGCCATCAACAAGAAGCCAAAATAGGAAAAATTCATCCTTTGGAAAACTTGATTATTATACTGCCTCATCAGTTTCAAATGCAGTAGAAATGTATACCAGCAAACAGATATCTCAAATGGATTCCAAAACCATCCAGTTTACGGTCTTGGGTGATATTAGGCCAATCCTCTATGCGATTTTCTTTGTTATTTTGCTAACTTTCATTCTGATATTTGTGTATATTATCAGGAAGAAAATTAAAAATTCACAATGCAACAAAAATCAGACGGAGAGAGATGAAAATGTACATGGTACTGGTATCTACCAGGAAATAAATAATTACGACAGATTTGATCAAAACATTTCCTATAGTGTATGCAGGGAAAATAATGAAGAGGCTTTAGGGGAAAGTTCAGAATTAATTGAAAGTCAAGGTGAATTGGAAAGCAATGGAGGAAAAGTGATAATTCGGGAGAGCACGGAAGTGAAATCAACAAGTGTTTATTGACAGTATGAATTTTAGATAATTATGGAAAATATAGCTCAACATAGACATATGTACTGACATAAAACATTTCTAATTTGAAAAATTATCTAGACTTTTTAATAATGAAAATACCAATCTTTGTATATATACAATTTCCTATTGTAAATATTTGCATAAAGTTTGCTTTTTTCAATAACGCTGTTACAAAATAATTAAATTTTTATTTATTTCATAAAATTGATTGTGTCTGTTTTTGTTTATTTACTGGTAGAAGTCAGGGGCCCGTTTTACAAAAGAACTTACGACTAAGACCAAAAAACTTAAGATTATTGTAATTTTTTTTTTCAAAATTATTAATTCTCTTTGATATTGTTTGAAGTAAAAATATCTTACCACATTCCTTTTACAAAGTTTAAATTAATTTTTGATATAATGTTAATCAAGAAGTTATTTGAATAATTAATTTTTTTCTTAAGTCGTAAGTCCTTTTGTAAAACGGGCCCCAGAACTTTAAAATATTGTCCAAAGCTTCAGTTAGCCAAACCTGATGAGATAAAAAATGGCTGCCGTTCTTAAGGTACAATATGATATTTTGAATATTGAGTGAAATCGTTCCTTTTTTTTTTAAATAAATAAGCATCTCTTTTTTTTTTTTAGAAAAAGAGGTAAACATATATATTCTATAGGTAGATGCACATGATATAAATACTTAAAAAGAAATGTATTGCATTGAGTATACATCTGTACATGTACAATATCAAGGTGAAATAGAATTTCTTTATTTGTAAATATTTACATTTCCAATGTCTTTATCCGAGATAAAAATTACCAATTGTAAATGTAATTGATTTCCTCATGAATGTTTTGGCGCGGTTCCAAAAAAAACACGTGCAGGGCGGGACAACACCTATAGAGAGAAGCAGGCTTGGAGCCCGTGGATTGGCGGAATCAAAGCATGTAAATATAAGGAATAACTGTCAGATTTTTCAAATTCATGAAGATGATCAATGGATTGGCTTGTGTGATAATTTTATGCATGAACGCCTTCGGCGTTTATGCAAATTATCACACAAGCCAATCCATTGATCACTTCATGAATTCGAAAAATAAGACAGTTATTCCTTAAATGAATTTAAATTTGAAGCGTTGATGTAGTTAGTAATATTTGTAAAGCATAAACAGACAAAACAGTTAATAACGTGTATAAATTTGGTAGCTATATGCATTAATTTTTTTATCTTAATTATGAATGAAAAGGAATTTGATTTGTAACCTACAGTGTATAGATAAGATAAAATGAAATGCTGACTGAATTAATTGGTTTGAAAATATTTATTGTTAAGGTTTCAAAATAAAAAGATCGGACACGATGTCTTAGAATAAAGAATGTCTTTTCCTCAATGTCCATGGATAACACAACATTATGCTAAAAATTGAGTATACACTTGAACCAAAGGTCAATATTTTATATCCGTTTACATATACCATTCTTGTAAAAAAAAAAAGAATTGTTTTGAAGCTCCTGTTGACAGAGTTTCTCATTTCCAAGAGGAACATTACAACATAGTTAAAAAAAAAACATCAAACAAAAGAAAAATATTTTTAAAAAGTAGTAAAAGGCATTTACATTGTGCTGGACCTGGCGAATATTTTTATTCTCTTTTGAATTTTATATTAATTTACATAAAGGTAATTAAAGAAAATAATTAGAAAATGCATGTTCTCTTTAGTGAACTACATTTACTTAGACTAGATTTGAGGACTTTCTTTAGTTAATGACATTGGATTTTCATAGAAAAACATTGATATATGTAATAGTTATAAATTAAATTTTAAAAAAGAGATCTCAATTTCTATGTATTTCTTAATCAAGGTTTCGAACAAATCAAGGATTTAATACATTAGTTCATAAAATGCTCTTATAAAGAAATGCTGATATTGTAACATGAACCGCTAAAACATTGTTTTAACTTAAATTGGTAGTAATCCACACAGACGATATCCCTTTGAAGGCAGCCCTAAACATATATATTTATATATATATCGCCTCATATTACATACAAATACCGGTATAATCTCTTTAATGTAGTATTCATGATATGTCATTTAGCTTTTTATATTTCTCTTTAACTTACATAATGCATATGTATATATCAGTAATGTAATGAGACGATATTTGTAAAAAAAATATAAGGCTGTTGACAGAACTGTGTTTCACATCTCCTGGAATACATATGTATAATATGTCCTAGACAGTCGATGCAATCATCATCTTGGAGTGTCTGATCAGAAATGCTTCTTGTGCATTGGATGAAAAGTATGTTGACTTGAAATATACGATACATGTACATTGTTTTGAAATTCTGTCATGAAACATCTTCAATGGGCGTGTTATGATTTAGTGGTTCCTGTTCCATGCGACCTGAAGATGCATCTGAAAAATTACATTTCAAAACGTGTTGAATTTTTTTCTAGGGTTCATATTACATGTAGATACCTAAATAAAACATAAAAAGAAGGTTAGTCTAAACCCAATATCTATATATTTAATTAGATATACCTGATTTTCTGCTTCCTTTTGAATATCTGATCAGATATATTACAAATCCTGTGAATACCATTAGAGAAATGCTGAAGGAAACAAATATGATTATGTCCATTCTGCAAAACAGAAAAAAACAGAAAAATAATAATGTATATATTATATATTTCATGATATGAATACATAATCTTGTTACCTAATACCAAATGAAATCACAATACTCACGACACTAACGCCCCTCCTTCTTTCATTTCTACATTGATTTCTAAAGCAGTCTCGTTTACATCTGGTTTTGTGAATTCATTTGGTTGATTTTCTTGGTTAACATTTCTTAGTACAACACAATCTGGATCTGAAGCAAAACAACAACAAAAAAAGAATTTTTCTGAAGCAAAAAATCATTCGTTGAGACTTTTCTTAAATTTGATTCTAAATGAAGTAATTATCAATGTTATTTAAAATTGTTGTAATTCAAATGACAAAATGAAATATTACATTGATAGGACTTCCATGACTTGTATCTGGTTGGACAAGGCGTTTCGAAATTTTTACAATCTGCATTATAATTGTCTTGTATTCTTTCTCCTTGAAAATTGTATTCTGGACAATATCCTGTTCACAAAATGCATGAAAAGACTGATATAAAAACAGTTTTTTTTAAACTAAAAAGGAATATCAATTCCCTTTGTCTTGTACTCTTTGTAACAGAATAAGTCAAATAATTTTTACCACTTTAAATGACTGCTTCCGCTAATTAAGAGAGTATCCATTTTTAACAAATACAATACTTATTAAGTAGTGATTAGAAATTTTTAAATGTTTTGAGAAAATCTCAGTTAAAATCTTACTTGTTCTACGCAGTACTTACCCAAGAGATATAAACCAGGTGCACACACTTCAATAGTTTGATTCATGAAAGTATTTGCCACACAGTGGTATCTAAAATTCTCTGGACTGGTACAGTTCTGGGGGATACTTGAACAGTTTTTCCTCTTTGCGGCTTCCATCCATGACTTCTCTGAAGTTGGACATTTAGTAAAAGACAGAGTTAATGTCGTTGCAGGACAATTCTGGAAAGCCATTGTCTGAAAAATGCATGAACACACTTCAGATGATATACATATAGATAGCACAGTTTGTTTTTAGATAATGTTGTTGTTTAACACCCCTAAAGACTTTTTTTTTCTATTAAAGAGATGTTGGAAACATCACCAATTACTGGTGGAGGGTACAATTTTTTTCCTATGTTCTGCACTCATTGCCATTGATCAGTGAGTGATCAGTTTCATGCCAAAATCTATATCGAGACAGGATCTCGGTTGATACAGTCTCAATTAAGCGAAGGACTGGTCATCAAGTCCCGCAATTGATTTGAAACCGCAACGTAAGGATCAGCTTCTTACTCTGCGACTCTATAGCCTCTAGTAAATGCACCACAGATGCGACATATTTGTACATTTACATGTATGTATATTATTGTAAGAAGAACATGGATACAACGAACAGCATTCAATCTCAAAGTCCTTAAAGCAATATAAAACAGGAGCAGAGCAAAGTATATACCGTAAGTAAAATTGACTTAAAGGTGGCTTGGTGTTCATAAATCAAAAGTATAAGACACAGTCCTTACCTTACTATCATAGTTAAATTATTAAGGGAACAATTTAACTATAAAAGTCTAGCAAAACATGTGGCTTTCACATTTATTGCATAAAAATATGAATAAATACATGTAGATATGAAAAAATCTGTCTAGTGATAGATGAAAAAAAATCAACACCATTTGCAGCACAAAGCTTTACCAATTACAAATACATTTTTAAAAAATTAATAAAACACTTGGTTTTGACAATTGAAATCGATTAAAACAAGCTTATTAAGTAAAGGATCAAAAACCAGGTAAGATACAAATAAAAAAAAAAATCAAATCAAAAATATCACATCAGTGAAAAAAAGTCTTTGTTCAATATAGATTCATAATAACTTTTTCATTGAAAAATTTTGACTGTAGACGCAGTTGTTTGCAGAGTAAGGAGCTCAGATAAGACTCTATAAACTGAGGTCCTGTGAGGTATAGGGTACAAGCCTGTCACTGCTCTATGGCCCTGATTGCCGATCATAGGTCAAAATCTTTAGCCCACCGACATGTTGTTGTCTCTCCATTAAAGTGAAAATTTTTGGAGAGGGATGTTAAACAACATACAAACAACTATTGAAAGTCGTTGGTTATAATCTGCTTATCTCAATATATAAAATAACTGCTATTGATTTAATTAACTACAGTCAAAAGTAAGACTTAAGTATGCATGTACCATGTGGCTATGAAATTCCCCTTTCCTAAAAATAGCCTTATGTATACGTGCTTTAAAATATTCCATCCATTATATCCCATCGTAAAGCTCAAAAGTGATTAAGATATAAGGATTTCTTTTTCAATAGAATACAGTTATATGCATATCAGTAGAATACCAAAAGAATATTTTAACATTCTGATAGTATATCTATGAAATGAAGAACCAAAAACAAGAAATGAAATTTATTACTATAAACCAGCAGTACATAATGAAGAAAAAAATAATAACACTAATTTATTAGGAATATAAAATGAATACTATTAAGTTGCAAAAAAATTTAAGAAACTGTTATATTATGCAATCTTAATTCTTTGGGTTCCCCCTTTTCTAAAATTAGACAAACTAAAATTTCTAAGCTCTTCAGAAAGAATATTTCAAAAAAATTCTTTGATGTGAATCAGAACCTTTATAAGATAAATTATATAATTTAATGATTAAAAATTTTCTCAATTAGTTTATGGAAACTGTTTAATTTAAAAAATAAAATATACACTGTAATTTAAATGAAATGCAATAAACATACAAAATATGCTTCTTAATTAATACCCATTCTCTGTAACCACTTAAACTTTTGTGGCACGCATAGTAACAGATTTTTTTCAAATTTGGCTGGAAAGTACCACCTCATAAACTACTTCGAAAAATATAGTTAGATCATATGAATGTTGAGTAGTTACCATGGAAACGGTGTCTAAAGTTGATTTTTTGTGAAAAAATGCAATATTTGGGAAAGTTTTTTAAAGAAATGCGGCTACTTCAATTCATGTTACTCACAGAAATAAGAAATATAACATCTAACTTTAAAAGGCATGTTAAAACCTTGTTGGTATTCTCTCTATAAATATGAGAATTCTTTGATTAAAATAGCAGACAATAACTTTGAAATATTGAATTATCTCCCTTTGGTAATTGTGAGCTCTTCAGTGAGAAAGATAAAAAAAATCATCATACAAAAATGACTGGAAGTTGTTTACATATTGTCAGCATACAGCTCTGTATATCTAGGAATTCAAGTAAAATCAACTGTTTTTCCTGTTTATTTAATTTGCATACAAATTTTAGCCTCTGTTTATATCCTACATGCACAAGAATAATTTTGATATGTGAAAAATGGTGAAATGTACAAGCTAGACTACATAGTTCAGGAAATCAGCTCTGTACATAAGCATTAGTCTCAAGGTCTAAGGAGTTTCAAAACGGGATTCAAGATAAATTTGAAATATCAGAATTACTTGTATTATGAATTTGTTTTTTTTTTTAAGAATTACTGTGTCTTACGATCAGTCAGAGTGATATCCTGGAGGACTGCAATGGATACGGGGTTAGAAAGCAAATGAATTTTTAAACTGAATGTTATTATAGAGACTAATAATTTTTAAAAAACTGAATATGTCCTTGGCTGAAAGGGAAAAAAATTATACTGAATAATAGCTACAATTCCCATCCACAGGTCGTTATTTCAAATTCAGCAATATGTTTTGAAACCCGTGGTATAATACATATTATATATGGGTTAGAAAATTGTTACCTATACGAGCCCCCCCCCCCCTTCCTAAATGAAAAAGAGTTTGGGCATTTTATATATATATATATATTGTTATTGGGTTTTTTTCTTTGCTCTTTAGACTTTTTTTTGTGAATAAGAAAATTAATAATTTTCCCTAAAAAACATCTTGGAAATAAATTATATGTCCTGCCATGAAAATAAACCTAACCCCCCCCCCCCTTCTGGATCAAAGGTCGTCCCCTAACCCATAGTAAACGCAGTCATATTATGTAGTTTTTAAACAGGATAAACAAGTATAAAATGTTTTGTTAACCAGTCAAAAATATATTTTTGATGATTGGGATAGTTGCATAGAAATACAAATTGTCTGTGAATCAAATTTAAAGTTAACGGTTTATCATTTCTCTGGACTAAGATACATTATGATTTAAACTTACAGCAGTACAATATTAAATCTGTCTAGCAGTATTTTATTAATAATGAAAATAATTTTCTGAACCCCCCCCCCCAAAAAAAAAAAAAAAAAAACAACAATTAATAAAAGCACAATAGCAGATTATTCGAACAGGTCCAGCAGATGTTTACAACAGATTATTATTGATTAAACTTTGGGAATATCAGATCTTTTGCGTAGATCCAGGCATATTTGTGTTGAAATATTTACCATCAACATCGCTAAAATCTAATTTTTTAAAGAATGATATTTCAAAGTAAATTAGATTTTTCCGTCAACTTCTCTGAAAAAAAGTCACTGGAAAACACATTTTGACTGTTACTTGAAAAGTTCGGATTGTTAAAAAATGTACATTTAGGAGCAAGGGGTTAGTTTACTAAAACAGCAGAAGAGTGTCTATACATGCTTGTAGCGCAATTCTCTACATACAAGAAGTCTTGCACTCAATATGGAAAGTGTATAGTCGTCCAATATTCTTAAATGCCTACCTTTATATCAATAAAACCTGAAAACTGTACTTATATAAGCATTTTCACATTATGCATCAAGCTAAAGGGAGAATGTAAAACCAGTTTTCAATGAAATACATTCAATATACGGGATCAAGGTCAGGATACAACATTTACAATACCAGTATTCCGAATAACCGAGTATAAATGCATTATTAACAAGCTAATTCAAAGAATATGTGTCCACTGCTTTATAATAAGGAGATAAGAATTTCTGTAGATTAAGGGGGGGGGGGGGGGGGGTGGGGGGTGTCGGAGTTTGGCAGGGTAGGGGATGGGACACTTAAAGTGGGGCGGGCGGAACCATAGAGCGTTATGAACAAAAAATAAGCTAACCTAAACGCTTTTTGAGATATCACTCGGAAATGAGAGGTTTACATACAAACAATGTCTTTTTCTACCTTTACCTTTTGACCTAGAAATAAATAGGGGTCATTTTAAGCCAAAGCAAGTCGTGGTATAAACTCAAATTGAAAAAGATCATAGGCTTCTTAAGATATCCCATAATAATACAATGTTAAAACAGACAGAGGGGGGGGGGGAGTATTTTTATAGACAAAAAAAAACGAAAATAAATGCCTCTCAATTTCAAAGTGATTAACAGCTAAAATTGTGTATTTTATTAATATATATACTAGTATGGTTTACTTATTTGTGTTAAACATGAGAAAAAATCTGCGTAACATTTAATTACATCCATGATTTTTTCAAAATATGGCGATGCTTGAAAGTCCGATTTCAATGGAAAATATCATCGACTCCTCCCCCCCCCACCCCCTTATTTCAAGAGTTGGAATAAGGGATATGAATTCAGCACTGGTATTAAAATAATGAATCAAATACCATTTAACTGTTTTTTATATTTAATAAAGATTTTATGGCTAAATTGCCATTAATATTGAATAAAATGGTAGCAAAATGTAGGCGGGAATTGAGAGTTAGCGTGCATAGTTCTTTATATACCACTTTGACCTTCTGTCCATATGTTCACACATTCATATGATGCTAGTTATTGTTGACCAGAACTGTAACTTTGTTTCTGCATTTGTTGTTTAAAACACAAATATTAGTTATAACACAGAAAAAATGTTGTTTAGTTTTCTTAAATATCTATCAAAATCGGCCATTTTGACCTTGACCTTTGACCCTAAGTCATGAAAATTGATTTTTTCGCTTTGCTTTTGCTATTTTTTTTTACCATATATCTAAATTTGATTTAATCCATTTTAAAATACTCAGGCAATTACATGGACCCTGATTGTATCTACGTATTGTACTTTTCTAGGATTTTGAAAAAAAAGCATAAGTTTGTAACCATGGTAACAAGAAAACTAAATATGAATACCAAGTAGTTCTTTGTAGTGTATATTAGAACTATATGTGGACTTTCAAACCAATGTATTCATTTTTTCCAAACTATCCGCAAAAAATTATACCAGGCTTTTCAAAAGAGCCTAAAATCTACAATTTTCCACAAGAAAAATCCTACCTATAAATGAGGGATATTTTTTCTATGAGGAAAAAGTTACTGAAATACTAAAAATTTTCTAAAGCACTGTGAAATGATGCATTTTGGCAAAAAGGTAAAGTCATGTTGATAGCTTGTTCCATTAAAGACTTTTTATAAGTCAAAAAGGGTCATTTTTCATCAAAATTTAGCGATTTTTAGGCCATGAAAAATGTATGTTGGTTGCCATGGTAACCATGGACCATAGCAACCATTTTATTATGAATTTTAGGTACATACATCAATATAGGAATGTATGCCAAGTTTCATAACAATCCAAGACCATGCGTGCCACACTCCCTATATAAGAGTTTAAATGGTTACAGAGAATGGCTATTAATTAATGCACATTAAAGAAGTAAGAAATGAAAAAAAAAAACTTATCATATCGTCTCACTAAGTAGAATAAGCAGAAATAAATCTAAGGTATCCATGTGTTTTGTGCGTTTTAAACGCTATTTAACAACTATATACTAGTATACTGCATTTCATTAAATGCCAGATAAACCTATGCATACATGTAAAAAGGTAAAAGGATTATCAGGTGTACCGACATGATAACAAAAATATTAATTTTATTATTCTTCTCAATACATGTTATAGATAGATGAAATCTAGTACAATCATTATTTCTAGTTCTACTGCTCACAGAGTTTATATAATGCGACTATCCTCTGACTCTTTCTTTCAGCATTATATTTTCTAATATACTGTAATTTTTGCTACTATTTTAATACTACATGGTATGTGTACTGAGGTGAGCTTAACTAGAAATCATAATCAAGTTTTGATTGCCATAGTTCTTTCAAATAATATTTTAAAACAATTAATCTAGCTCTCTACTGAGCTACAGTAGTTTTAATTCTAGCGAGGGCCTTCCAGACGTTTTTAAAACGCTACCAAACTCCTTCTTGGTAACATATTCCCCGAAAGCTTTATTAAATAACGCAATCTCTATGTTTTATAGACTTAAACAGCCTTTTCCCTAAGTATGTCATTTCGGAGTCTGATACATCTTGAAATGGACATTTATATGCCCTGATATTCTCTTTTATTTTGGGGTAAAATGTGGAGGAAACAAAAGAACCAAATCAGATTTCCACTACAATTTTTTAGCATGCTATATAAAATTGGCTAGACTTGTGGAGTGGACCCAATTTATTATGTTTGTGTTTATAATGCTTCAAATAAAATGCTTCTTATAACGATAATGCCGGGATTATTTTGATAAAGTTAAGGATTTTATTTACATTTAGCAGGAATAACCACGCTCCGTCAGTTTTTGTACATAATCACTTAGACTGAGGCTCACAGTGTTTATCTCAATAAAGTCATTTACCAATTACATTTATGTTTATTTTAAATAAGTTTTATCGCTATGCGTAACTAGAAAAAATCGATTGGAACTGATAATGTAATTTTTTTTGGCAAAACTGAAGGTAAACTCCTGAAATATTTTAAACATATAATTCTAGAGAGGGCTATATAACATATAATTATTCCCTAGGAAGCTCATTCTTTTAGACAGAGGCACATTTTAATGTAAGTTTACTAAGGACAAGATAGTTTTTTTCTAGACTTCAGTTGAAATCCTGATGTCAAGATGGTGACTCTTAAAAGTTTAGGATTTCTTTAGAAAATCGACTTTCAGAAGATAACCAATTTAATTTGTTAATTTGATATCTTAAAATTTAACGTATCTTATTTTACAATATTATCGTTATAAATTTCCATTGGAGCTACCGGTCATGGTAGCCTAGTTGTAGAGCGTTCGCTTCGTGATCGGGAGGCCCGGGTTCGATTCTCGTTCGCGGCGCCGCGTCATACCTAAGACGTAAACTAAAGGTAGTGACTGTTCCTTCGCCAGGCGCTCGGCACTAGAAGTGAAAGTCAAGGGTCTTTTCGGATTTGACCTTAAAAACGTAGATCCCGTGTCACGGTAGGCGCTGGCAAAATAAAGAACCCTCACTGGCTCAATGGCCCTGAGTGTCGAGTATATAGGTCTAAATTTGAAGCCCTTCACCGGCATACGGTGACGTCTCCATATGAGTGAAAAATTCTTAAGAGGGACGTTAAACAATATACAATATACAATCCATTGGAGCTTTTGAAAGGGATATTTATTAGAAACTGGACGGACAGAAAAAAAGGAAATAACTTTTAATTGGAATAGCTTAACGGTTCCTGAAGATAACGACTAGGAGAGAGACAGAGAGAGAGAGAGAGAGAGAGAGAGAGAGAGAGAGAGAGAGAGAGAGAGAGAGAGAGAGAGAGAGAGAGAGAGAGAGAGAGAGAGAGAGAGAGAGAGATGATTGTTCGTTGTTTATCGTCACTCATACAGAGATGCCGAGAGAGAGATTAAATAATTTTGTTTATTGAACAAAATGTTATCTTTTTAATTGCATAAATTAATGGGATTTAAATTTAATCAAGATATTTATATTGATATCAACTCACCGACAACTTGGTCAAGTTTGGCAAAAGATATATAAAGGCTATTGAAATGATCATCGTAATACCCATCTTTACCTGAATCAAAAGAAATATAAATAATTATGTGATGAATTGTCTTGATAAATATTTTTACGGAGGAAATCATCAACGAATAAAGCTTTCAACACAATAGTATTTATTCCTACCTTTCAGAGATTTACAAGCATGCAGGCCGGGAATACCCATTGCTAAAAATATCAGCAACTCTCACATTTATCATTCAATGGCAACTTGCATGTTGGCATAATTTATTCATGTATTTTAAGAGACGCTTTGCACTATTTTTTTAATGATCTTTGTATAAGTTTCTTTTAGAAATTTAACAAACAAGCATTTTTTTTTTTAAAGAAACATTTGTACATCAATATACGAGGGGCTATCAAAAAATTCGTGGACTAGCGCCATAAAATTAAAACAGCTTTAGGTACATCAATGAAAACGTTTTTTTCGACTTAAGTGTGATTCAGATAGACTATTTTGATATGAACATTTGACATCCAAAAATCCCATTAATTCATGTGTGTATTGGGACACTATTGTTCCATAACATATTGAATTTTTACCTTATTCTGGAAGATCTATGAAATTTATTGTAAATTTTACATAGAGGATCCAAACAAATATTGCCCTGAAAATGACGTGAAAAGGAGGGAGGGGTTTCTTTTTCCAACATTCTATAACGTTTTGCCCCTAGAGAAACTGGTATATACACAGGGAATGTTTAAACTCGCTACGGAGAAATAATATGGCTCCAGCTTACTTATTATACCCCCCGCTTGAAAAGCAGGAGGGTATATAGTAATCGTTAATTCCGTCCGTCCGTCCGTCTGTACGGGGGGTGGGAGGGATATCTTTAGTGAGCTCATCGCTAACAGTACCTCTAGTTTTTTAATGCCAAAATATATAAAGAGAGAAAAGGAATGCAAATATAATGTCCATTTGTAATTGAGCTTTGAAAAATCTCTCACGTCAAATGATGACGTTGATCATGTATTTTAGCTATACTGAACTAAATGAACCAACAAAATATGCTGTCACAATCAAGCGAGGAACTCTCCTAATGTATAAATCAATTTGCAATAATATATATGTTTTGACAGCTGCTGTTCATGACATTGTACGGTTATAAAAATGAGATGGGTTGTAGTCCTTACTCAGCTGTAGGGAATCTCATCAAAATAAGTGTACCAGGTAGAAGAAGCTAATGTTGAAAAATAATGACGTTGTCGGACGTAATTTTTCGTTTTTTTTAAGAAAATTACAAAAAGTTTTCTGATAACACTTAGATGTGAAAAAAATGTCCCATACCCGTTGAAATTTATCACAGCTGTATTTGATTTTGAAGCAGATGTTATAGATGTTACATACACAGTACAGTAAGAAGACAGCTAGGTCTGTCAGATAAATCAACTCGATTCTTAATCTGCAGTAAACATTTAAAGGAATGCAACTCGTGATTAACGATTTCAAAATTTTACCCTGCATGAGTGATACAACTTGCGCATAGGTATGGTTTAAAATTCAAAAATAGTCATTCAAAGGGCCTTAACAAAGCTGCATTTACGTTTTGTTTATGATTGTAAATTTCTGTTTATATTCGCAAAATAGTTTCAGTTTAATTGGACTACCTTAAAACACTAGTATTAGATGTTATTAGTAAAATTATTCATGTTCAATCTGCAAACTTTGTTTACATCACTGAGCAGAGGCTGACAATACTATTGTGATGCTTAAGTATTTCTTACATTTCTACCCTGAATATGCTGAATAATATTTTTCATTAACACACAACACATTTTTCACTTTTCTTTAATGATATGGATACATTTTTTGCTTGAAAGTTTATTTCATACAAACACCTTCTGAAATTAGAATTTTTCATTATTTTAGGTTAATAAAGAACTTTCTAATCATATTTTATACTAGTATATGAATGGCTATAATGCCCTATAGAAACTTTTTATTGTATTGTATCAGATGTTTAGGCATGTTACATATGTATTATACCAAAACAGTACGAAGATATTATAAATTTTGAAATTATGATGCCTTCTCTTTATAGGGATTCAATTCCCTAAATTCAAAATTTAAAGGACGTTTGCAGTTTGGAGCAAG